TACTGCATGTAGAATAATCCTCAAGCCTAATGAAGTCTCTGAGCTAAATTCAAATCGCCTGTTTTGTCGCCCAAGAAATCTCCTCTCTCCGGTAGTGGGTGAAAAGGAGCTGAGCGAAATTTGCGTGGTCGGACGGAAGACCGGGCCTGATGGTCCGAGTCTCGCCACGTAAAAATAAGGCAGCAATTCAATTCAGTCTATAACTATAACACTCCGACAGAGAAATCGTATTCATCAGGCTACAAAAAATTCACTTACAATACAAACTATTCATTATTTTACAGCTCACTGGCAGAATGACTTTATATATATATATATATATATATATTATATATAATATATTATATATATATATTATATATCATTCGCTTACATACAAACAATTACTGTCAGGAGGCTTAAGAAAGTTCAACAGGATTTCACAAAAATGTGTCTCAAGGTCCTTCAACTATTCCTTTATGTTAGATTTATTTCCTCTTTTCACCATGCCTGACTGAGTCGAGTGTAATAGTATATTCAGATATTTTTTTTTTTTGAAAGTTATTTCAAATATGTCATATTACAAGATTATGTAAATGGGCGCAGGCTAACTCTCATTTCGGCGATACGATTTTATTCGTTTTAATAATTATCCGCAAATATTTTTTAGGGAGTAGAGAGAAAGTAATGAAATGCTGCACGAAAAATATCGAATTTTTGGCAGAAAACTGTTATTACAGGGACCTGGTAACGAAAAGGTGAATAAATCCAGTCGATAAATTAGAAAAATTCCTTTAAACACTTTGGTGTAGCAAGAATGTGTTTTTTTGGGTCCTTGGCAACGAAAACTCGAATGACAGCAGTCCTCTCAGTCTGTGAACAACACTAGCGGCCTTACCGGTCAGCCGATTTTCTCCAAAATTGATAATTCCCCAATCGCTATGGCTGATGGTACGCCTCTGGGAATTTGAAACCGATATTTCAATTTTTTGGGAGTACATGAATGCCCTAGGACATTTTTTCATATTTCAAAGAAAAAGGCTTCCATCGGTTTTGATTTTTTTAGTGTGAAGAACGTTTAAGAGAATGGAGTATTTCTCATGTTCGTTGAAGAACGTGGTTTTTGGAAACTTGCAAAAGTTGAATTTTTTGGAGTATTCTTACAACTAAAATATTTAAGAGAAGATTTGAGTATCTTTTCGCGTGATTTTGCGTGAAAATATGGGCGAGAAAGTACGTGCCGTTGTAGCTACACTTTGGGTAAGGGTTTCCCTCTCCCCCCCCGCCCCGTGGATCCGACTGTTGCTGCATAACTTCACTTGTGTCTTGCGGGGGAGAGCACATTGCAAGCAGCCACGATCTGTAGCGAACAGCTGCTATATTAACATTTATATAATTAATGTTAATATTTAATTAATATTAATATATTAATATTTTGTTTACAAATTCAGTTTTCATCACATATGTTTTGTGGTCATAAGTCTTGTTTCAAATTTAAGTTTGAAATTTCCCGCCATGCGACTCTCACGGACAGCGGCTCGGCTATCTTCGCATACAATCATGGCTCCACAATTTGCTCTCCCGAGAAACAAGTCATAACTTTCCGTACAATTAGAGACCATACTGAGCATCAAAAGTGAAAATATCACTAGTTTTCTGTACGGCCATTAATAATATACGCCATTAATAATTGTTGCCATAAAAATCAAGGAAGTATTAAGTACTATCATGTACAACATTTATGCATACAAGAAAGGGTAATAGGGTGAATTCTTTTAGCGGGAACGTTTTCTTGACTTACTTTAGATAATTTTCTCTACAGTATAAACTCTATAGCGCATGGAGGATTGTCGTAGAGAAGCCCCTGACGCGCCACGTTATAAAATTCCAAGTATACGTGTCCTTAAAAGTTCCAATATCTGCTGTTATTTTTTTTTAACACGAATCGTTTTAAGAATGAAATCGTTCATTGATTGTTCACAAGCATCCTTTTCCAATAAGCACAGTAAAAATCTTGGGCTTCGTATATCTCTCTAAATTATTTTTATTACATAAGTACAGCCCTATTTACACACAATTTACCAGTAAATACATACACATACGATCGGTGAATTGCTTTGAGCAAGTAAATTTACTGATTCAATTAAATGTTTGGTTCTCGAAGTTTAATACGATTGTGAACGAATCACTTGGTTTGCTGTGGTGAGATGGTGTTGTGGTGCTGCTGACGGATAGATGGATGTGTGTATGATGTGTGTTAATGCGAAACTGTGCTGGCTCTGGATATATTTTGTGCATATTTGTGTGGATGGTAATTTACCACAGAAAGTGATGTTTCCTCAAATCAGTGAGAGGTAAAATTATACTGATAATATAAAGACAAATATTCGTTGTAAGTGAATATGGCGTCTGCTGATCAAGTTGGTCTAAATAAGACCTGGGAACTTTCTCTTTACGAGTTGCACCGTACTCCTCAAGACGCAATTACGGACAATACTGAAATTGCAGTTTCGCCACGCAGTCTTCACAGCGAATTGATGTGTCCAATATGCCTGGATATGTTAAAGAAGACAATGACAACCAAAGAGTGTTTACACAGGTTTTGTTCGGACTGCATTATAACCGCATTGCGTTCTGGCAATAAAGAATGCCCCACATGTAGAAAAAAGTTGGTTTCAAAGCGTTCATTGAGACCAGACCCTAACTTTGATTTGCTTATATCAAAAATTTATCCCAGTAGAGATGAATATGAAGCACACCAAGAAAGAGTCTTGGCAAAATTGAACAAAAGCCATAGCCAAGCTGCTCTTGTCAATTCAATTACTGAAGGAATTAAGTTACAGTCCCAGAATAGGCCACAACGTCCAAGGAAGAATGCAAGTGACACCCAAGTTACTCCTAATAATACCCCAAATGTAAGTGCTCCATCAACTCCTACACCAAATGAGCCCCGTGAAAACATTCCTCCAACCCAAGTACCCCCTACTCAACCATCTCCAGTGTCATCTTCTGCATCTGCATTGTCCCCTGGACAGACCTCTGGAGGGAGTCAATCACTTCAATCACAACCTTCAGTGCAACCACAAGCTTCATCACATAGCCCATCTCTTCCTAGTAAAAGTGCCAAACGTTTAAAATCCCACCAAAATTCTGAAAATGATTCAGGTGGTTCTAGCGCTGAAGCAGGTAGTCACGATTCTTCGGTGGGAGAAGGGGATGGTCCTTCTGAGCCAGTGACAATTAATGAAATTGAGCTTGTGTTTAAACCTCATCCAACAGAAATGGGTGGTGATAATACATTGATTAAAGCCCTCAAGGAAAATTCAGTTCGCTATATTAAAACCACTGCAAATGCTTCAGGTAAGAATTTCTGGATTCTTGTAGTAATGCATTTTTATTCATTTGTTTTGAGGTTGTCGTATTAATGCTACATCTATATCAATTCAGTGAAGTTTTGTAATTTCAAATTATTATTCTTGTTTCAGTGGATCATTTAAGCAAATATCTGGCAATGAGACTGACTCTTGATCTGGATCACGAGCTTCCAGAAACTCTGCGACTTTTGAATTTCTGTATTTACATTGCTCCCACACCTGGACAGTTGGTTGTACTAAATGGTAACCAAACACTGCGACAAGTAAATGAGAAATTTTGGAAGGTTAACAAACCCCTTGAAATGTACTATTCTTGGAAGAAATCCTAGGGACAAAGCAGAATGTGAATTTCAGCATGAGTTACGCTGTTTATAGGTTCACTCATTTCATCATAGCAATTGAGAATGAGATGACAATTATGTTGCATTATGAAAATATAATTCAGTAACGTATTAATCATGTGAAACAAAAGCGTGATGTTGTTTAAAATAGATTAAATGAACTGTATTGGACTAAAATGACTATATTATGGATACACATGGTTGTAAATAAATATGATATGATCGTGAAGATGAAGTTCATTAATCAATGAAAATCTCTACCATGTAGAGAATAGATTAATGGTGATAATGTTTATCATTACTCATTTAATTATTTTAGTGATAAAATGGTTTGAGAGATTGTCCAGAGATGAACTGACCTAAAATAATTTAACCATGATATTTACTTACCCACTCAAAATAAAAGTACTTTTATACATTGTATTCTGTAATGAGAAATGTATTTTGTTGAATGCTGAAATTTTACATTTAGGTCATTAAAATATTTATATGAACAATTTCCTGATTTGAATCTCATTGTGAGTTTCCAAATACTTGTTATTTTAAACAAAGTATTTCAAATTTTCTTTTGCAAATCTTGAAATATGTATAAAATGCATTAAGTATTAAATTTTAACTTTTTTATCTTTCTTGAAATCACACTATGTGCACTTCTTCTGACAATATTTTAAATTAATTAAATCTCACATTCAATAGATATTGAACATCTAATAATGTCATAGCATTTTGAATGGGTGATGAGAAATATTGTGCAATTTAAATACAGTGACTTGCATCAGGTCAGTGGTGAGAGTTATCCAATCAGGAGCTTCAATATATAAATTTGATGACTTAACAAAGTGCCTGATCGGTTAACTGTATCCAGTTAATGATGTTACAAGGCACTCTTTTTAAATCGGACAATAATATGGTTCTCAGCAGATTTGAAATGTTTGTGCAACAGTGCAATATATTATGGTAAAAGTTACGTATCCAAGTTCTGTACTTTTCTTTTCTTTTTATTATGATGAAAGTAATTGTTAGATGCATACCCAAATAGCTTAAGATGTATTAGTATAATTCATCTGGAAAGAAATTTGTTTCTTTTGAGTTTAGTGTTATGAAATGTAAATTGTTTATTGGGAGGTACATCTTTCTTTATTACTCTTCTTTAGTATGTGAGTTATGCTGTCATTGTGAAACAAATGACCAAGTGTAAATTGACTGTAATTAAAAAGGCATCCAATTTATTGTACTGTAGCGTGGGGTATTGTGTATTGTATTTTTCTACAACATTTTGCTTTTATATAAAGAAGAGTAGAATTTCTTGTTGTATAAAGAAAATATATTAAGAAGAAAAATATATCTGAAGGTTTGAAGTGTGTTATATTTTATTTTATTTAAATACATGCATTGTAAAGACCAGTTCCTTGTAGCCCCTTGCATAGCTAAATGTATGAACACGTATCTTGTTTATCTGAAATGTAGAAAATTCCTGAAGTGTGGAAGTTAGGATCTGAAAATATCCAGTGTAGAATGAGGATAAATTCTGAACTAATGAGGGAATTTTGAAAATGAAAATATGATAGGATTAAAATGTAGATTGCAAATGTATTATGCAAACAATGTGGTAAATAGTAGTGGAATGTATCAGTTTATAATTTTGTGATTCTTTACTGTCCTTGATTTTAATGGCTGATGTCAATTTTGTGGCCATTTTCTCCTCAATTTGCTTTCTTTAATATAATTTGTGTCTGTATATATATATATATATATTATATATTATATAATATATATATATATAATTATATATATATATATTATATATATATATAATAATATATATTTTTCGTGTTTAAAATTCTCACTCTTCTTGAATTTTAAAAACTTGGGGTGGAGAGCTTGTTGATTTTCTCCGTTCTATCCTATTCCTTTCAAGTTTCTGAACCCCTGTTAATCGTATCTTGTCCTTATTTCCTTTGGAGTGCACATGCAAATGGTATCATTTATTTACATTTATAATGTAGGAAAATTATGTATTAATTGAATATTCTACCCACTGAAGACATTGTCTCAGGTATAAATTCTAATTTTTCTCAGAGTTAAGAATCAACAATAATTGCCAGTACCATACAATTTTCCACATTTTAGGTATTTTAATTCTATTTTAAATTAAATAGACTGAATATTCATAGTGCCAAATTTACCCCAGTTTGTTAGTTACCTCTTCAACTGATAAGTGTTTCATTTTACATTTAAAAAATTGAATTCCTACGATATTTCCTGAATAATCCTAATACACATACAGGAAATAGATAGTTCCTTAAATTAGTCATACTATTGACATAATGTTCTTCAAAACTATTTCTTGCTTCCTGAATAAACTATTTAATTGTTATTAAATCCTTTAGGTCATAAGAGCATATTTAAAGAGTTTATCCAGTGGGAAGAGTAATATATTTGTTTAATTTCTTGAAACATTGTTAAATTCATTAGGGAAATTTGTTTCTTCTAATTTCAGATTTCATTTTTTTTTATTTTCCTTGACCTACTAATATATGGTCAAAAATTATGCAAATTGATAATAAATTGAATTCAAACATTTCACATTTTCCAGTACTTGTCATAATTTGATTTAGTGATATACTTCTTGAGCAATAATCTGGCAGTCTTTTAAAATCTAAGTGCTGTAGAATACCTTGTTTTTGTACATTTGCTGACAAACTTAATTTTTTCCTCTTCTGTCTCATTCTGTACATATTTACATCTAGATTGAAGAAATTAGTAAGTCTTGTTCTTACCACTTTAAAAGCAATATTAGGTGAACCCTAATTCCCAGACTGAAGTTATACTATCTCAGCATTATGATTGAAAGAGTTAAATTTTATAGTATACTGCTAAATTTATTAATGTAGATGCGTTATGATGGAATGCACACTGATAACAAGATTCACTTTGATCAGACATTCAATGAATACATAATATTTTGTGAAATTCTATTGATTTTTTTAATAATGGTTTTGGTGTACAATTTAGGCAAAAGCTGGAACTGTAATAACTAGGAAAAGGATTTTGATTGGCAAATTATGGTCTACAAAGGTTTTGAAAATACATACTCCTGGCTACTGAAACAACTGTATTAAGGGTTAAACGAACTCTGTTTCTAGAATATATGTATCATTTTACACTAATTTCTTCTTCTTTATATAGTCCTTAAGAGGTCTAGTATCTTCGTAGTACTTGCAGTACAACAGAACCTCACTAATCCGAATCCTGCAAATCCGAAATTTAGGGTAATCTAATCCGAACAAAATTCGGGATGAAGGAAAAACAAATGAAATGCTTATTTGTAGTGTAAAGAAAGAATTTTCTAATTATTGTTGAACAAATAATTATAGAAACACTAGTCGAAATAAAACTTTTATTTCACTGATAACCACAGTAAATATCTCATGTTTACGTAGCAGTAATTTTCACTTAGCGGAAATTGCAAAATCGGTATCGGTAATCTAAGTTGAACTATTCAAATATACAGGAATGAACCATTAAGTCATAACACCCCTTTTTATCTCCTCATCCCGTGAAAAGATACGAAGATACCGTTTGGAAGTCCGTAACATAGATAGGGGCTACTTGATAGCAGCATTTTCCGGTTTCTGTACTATTTTAATACCAGATATGAAGTCAACTCTGTTTTTTTAATAGAAACCTATAATTAATTTTAGCTCATTAATGAGAATTAAAAAGACCGATTTCAAATATTGTAATTACTTTATAATTTAAGTGAATAGCTTTTGTAGATATAACAATATGTTATGTAGTATTTTTCCACTAAAGCCGCCCTTTCGAATTCGTCTTTCTTTATCCCACTGAGAAACTTGAAAGGAATTCTCTCTTGCATTCTCTGCTTTCCGAAAATGATCAAAGGTCACGTCACGATGCGGGGCGGAGGCACGAGATAAAAGGCGCTGCTAGGGTAATAGGACAGCTCATTTTTCTAGTTTCTTAAAGGCAGATAGAGAGATTACCAACGAAAGAGAAGTTAGATATGCTACTTGTGTAATGGTGAATCCGGAAGAAATGCCGGTTAGAGCAGTACACGCGATATGAGAGCTGCATCCGATAGTCAGCTTTCCTACGCCGCCACCTTGATGCAAGTATGTTCAAGAAAACTCAGAGAGTATTATCTAACTAAATGAAACGGGACGGCTGGAACGCTGAACAGAGGAACAAGCAAGAAAACTGCAACTGAAGAAGCTGCATGAGGAGATTGTTCTGGGGTCGACGCTTAGCAATCACATGCTGGTTCGCCGACATTTTGCCAAGGAATGTGTATAGTCAGACGAAGTGTCCTTACGGGCATACTGCATCGGGTATAATATTCCACCCAGATCCTCATAATCAAGCTCTCGGCGTTCGGAGATTTCGAACGCCGCAGGAACTTTGCCGGTTGCCCTGCAACGCCTGAGAGATTGATCCAAGTTTTTTAAAACGAATGCTTTTTACGGATGAAGCCACTTTTACCAACTACGGGGTAATGTGAATTTATGAAATGTGCATTACTGGTCAATAGTCAACACCCTCATTGGTTACGAAGGTACATCATCAAGAAAGTTGGGAGTGTTTAAACGTGTGGTGCGGCAAATCCTTGGAAAATTTCGTTTGTAGGGACTTATTCATCCCAGAAATATTAAATAGCAAGTATGTACGCCACTGGTTTCTTTCGAAACGTTTTTTACCTATTCTCGTAGAAAGAGATACCCACTGAACACGTCAGTGCAATGTGGTTCCAAAATGACGGCTGCCCAGCCTCTTCCTGTGTAGCCACAGAAAGTCTTAAATGAGAAGTTCGGCGCCAGATTGGCTGGAATAGGGCGACTTGCTGAATGTGAAGTGACTGCCGGTCTCCGATTTGACTCCTCTTGATTTTTTCTTTGGGGAGGCCACTCCAAGAATAAAGTCCTATGCAGAATTCACAACTTACGCGCAGACGATATGAAACGGCGTACTACCGGAAGGTCTTGCTTTGCTATATCATGTGCTCCTTTTTTTTTACATCTTGTTTATTTATCTTTCGAACGGCGACTGGAAACGTGCATTGCAGCAGATGGACAACATTTCGAACATACTATGCTTAAGTAGTACCATTTTCTTTAATAATGTATTTTTGTATTCTCTTTGTACATTTTTTAAAAATTTGATAAATGTATTTTCTTTGTAAATGACGGATAGTCATAAATAAATTAAAATAACAAGATTTTATTTACTTACTTTGGTATTGTACTACAATTTGTAATAATACTAGTATAATACGTATGTTGTCACAGTTGTCAAATAACAGAATAAATCTATTTTTCTTGACATTACAAAACCTTCCGGAATCTTTTCAGAAACATTTGGGTCTCTTCGGCCAAGCGTCGTCACGATTAATATTTCGCAAAATATCGAAGAAAGTAGTAGTTACTTTTCTCGTGTAATGGAGCGTGTTTGTCTGAAGGACGACTCGCCGAAGTTTCCCATTTAGTGAAGAAGAAAGGTTGCATGAATAGGCGCCGTTTCAGAGAAAATACGTTACAAAACATAGATATATCTACAAAACTATTCACTTTAAATATAAAGTAATACACATATTGAAATCGTCTTTTTAATCTCATTAAGATGAGCTAAAATTAATTATAGGTTCTATTTGAAAAAACAGAGTGACCTCCTATCTTTGTAATTAAAAATAGTACAGAACCGAAATATGCTGTAATCAAGTAGCCCCTATCTATGTTACGGACTGTCCAAACTGTATCTTCTAATCTTTCAACGGATGAGGAGATAAAAGGGGTGTTATGACTTAATTGGTTCAATCTGTTACTCAGTCCTCTTCGGGCACCTCCAAGTTTTGTAAGCAATTTATAATATAAACAAATGCAGTTAGGCTTCTGTGTTAGCAAAACTTGATACTGATATTTAAATTAGCCACAGGCTGTTTGCAAATTAATAAATAAAACAATCACTTAATCATAATAATTATATTATCCAAGGGCCCTAAAGCACGTTTTCTTTTGAATATATATTTTTGAAATGAGGATTTTAATACTTTATTTTCGAAATGAAGTTTAAAATATAAAAGTTTCTATTAACAATTAAAAAGATTAGTACGTTACACCATGAGCAAATTCTCTAATGTTCGTGTTTATTTCGTGTTAATTCGTGGTTATGGATCGTATAAGCTCTTCTTTAATTTGTTAGTAAACGATATGAAAGAAAATAATAATTTCAATTGAGTATATGTATTCTATATGCATGAGAATGCAGGCACTTGGTGACATTAATAATATCGATGAAGATGTATTGAAAATTATATTCTTATAAGTAATATTTTAGGGAAATTCTCGGATAATGAAAATAGGCGGCATTTGTTCCCCGTATTCAGTTGTTGGCAAAACTGTTGCTTGTCTTCTGAAATGACAGATTCACAATCACGAGATCGTGAGCATTGCAATCAGCTGAGTGCTTGTTTGTCGCTTTGTTGTCCGACTTCCAGAACGTAAGCCAGTGAGACATCTGTGAATATGTTGAATTTAGATAGAATTCCTGACCAGGTGGGATACTTGATAATGGCAGAGGACGGTGCTGTTATTTCTTCAGGAGGAGAATTGGAAAATAATGAACGTATTGCAGATATCATCAGTGGTTTAATATCATTGACTGATAATGTGGACCTTTCCGCTTTTCAATTAGCAGAAGGTTTCAAGCGCATCTCTGTGACTTACGATGAATTTGCGTATGTTATATGCCTGTCAAATAAGAAAGTTCATGTAGTGAAACGTCGATTGGTTCCTAGTGGTAGTGCAGAAGTGGCATTGGCCTGAATGTATGTGTCAACCTGTTACCTTGTGATATTTTCTCAGTATGTACTGACTTGTCAGACTCCTATCCAAATATTATTGAAACTATTATTGTATATTCAGTCGCTATTAAATTTTCAAATTGTATACTGAAGGTCTATTATGTACTGTGGAGATTTTACTTGTTTGTTTCACCTTTTTCTCAATTGGTTTTATTTTATTTACACATGGATTACAAATGCTTGTTGACAATTATTATAGCCTATAAACGCATGTTTGTTAATGTAACAGGTGCACATGTTTTTTATGTCCTTTGTTGGTTGCCAATGCATACTCGCATATGCGAGTATAGCTATAGACAGGAATTTATATCGTTTAAAATTGTATCTAGACATACTTTTGAGCAAGAATGTAGTTATAATATGAAATCTGAACAAGTAAATGAAAACTAATTGTTTGAATTGTTGGACATACCACTCGATAAAATAAATAAAATGTATACTTATTTGAAACTAGTTGGTAAATGCTTAATATGTTTTTATGAATAAATTTCAACTCGTGAGATAAGCTTATTATATACATGAAATAGTTTTTAATTTTTCCGGTAATAAAATGTTTTTTTTTTATTGTATGTATTAAGGTTTTTACCTCCTTTTTCACAATACCGTATTTTGAAGTTAAAATATTTATTATCTTGTGTTATGATTTTTTGATATTAGATTAATTGAATATGGTCCTATATAGATTTAGTCAAATTGGGTATTTAAATCCAGTTCAATAACAAACTTCCCCTCCCCTTTTTTTAACCTTCTTGAATAAAATCTATAGTTTCCCAAATCTGTGTTAAAATAAAAATTTGGTTTCATTACTTGTAAGATGGCTGATGACAATGATGGAGCTCACCTCGTAAGTTGGTGTGTGAATCCTTTTATGAGATAAATCTTTATACATTGATCATTATAGATAATTTATACATGGCCATGTGTCACAGCTTTGGTAGTACACCATACAAGGAAGGAACACATTTGTTCCAATATTTTGAACCCATTACTATCAATACAAAATAGAATATTGAAAATAATCGGAAAGACAGCTCACTGAATCAAAAACTTATAATTAAAAGTTTGGCTTTAGTGTCTTGGTAGTTTCTATGAGTTGCACAACCTTAACTCCCTTCACTCAAAAAGTATAACTAGAAATAAAAATCAATTATTACCAACTGTTGGTAGAACACTGAAAAAGATTTTCATCACATGCTTGGGAATTTTAAACAGATTGTCATCTGATCTTGGAGTTTAAAGTAGCAGTAAAGTTATATTAAAGAAAAAATTGTCAAAATGGGTAATGTTCTTTGGAGTATGGATTGTATCCTTATGAACTAAATGACATCTTTCCAATTTATGTAATTTTACAGAATGAAATTATAGCTGTATTGTTATGTAGTACCTGATGACGGGAGAAAGACAAATTTCCCAAATTGTTTCATTCATTTTATTGAATGTTTTAAGTTAAAAATATAATAATGAACTGGATTTAATTACTTACTGAATTTGTCTGTTATTAATGAATTGATATTTGTTAAAAGGACGTCAGTAAGGAAACCAAATTATTTAGGAAATGGAAAAGAAATAGTTTAATATTAAAACTGTGTAGTTAATGGCAGTTTTCTAGTTATGGAAGTTTTCTATGTATTTGTAACAATTGTTACTGTTCAATTTAACTTATAGTAACATTCTCTTCTTTTTTTAAAAAATGGTCTTGACTAATGTTGCTTTAACAAATATTGGAATAAATTTTTGCATTTCTAGTTCATTTTCATTCTTTTTAGTTATTTTTAATAATTTGAGTTTTCAGAGAATAGAAAATATATGATTACACATCTGTATGATTATGACATAACATTTTTCAAACACATTTGCAAATTAATTTTAATTATACAATCAAAAATGTAACCATTAAGCTTTAGGTTAAGCAACAAAATTGTTTCTGCGTCTTTTGAATTCCCATTCTACTTAATCACGATCCACTACAGATTCTGTAAGAACTGTCTGATTGTATCAATATCTGACAGCTTTGACTTTGATTGGAACCTTTTCTGAAGGATAAAGTGGAATGCCTGTTTGTACAAGATCATGAGTTTGACCAAGAACGAGTGAATGATAGATAAGACCTCTTATGGAATTGTACCCTTGCATGTATCCTTTTCTCTCTGAATTATGTTCAAAACGGTACAAAGTGCTGACAGAAAATTTCACGTTCTCACTTCTTGGTTTGGGTTTTGTTTCCTCTAAGACAATTACCCTCTTGTACAAGGCTTTCCGAATCCTCTTCAAATCAATTTATATTGTATCCTGTGACTTCCTTTACCTCAAATTTCCCAGGTTTGACACAGGCAATTGTCCGAGAACAGACATAGCTCTGAAATATTACTTAGTACTATGACTCAAGTACCAAGAATAGCATTAAGTTGTTGACTATTACTAATATGTCTCGTGTAAAGGTTGAGGCAAAAATGGACTGGCTTGAAAATCGTGATTGTATTTTGTTAAAGTAGCATCAGTCACGTGATGTTGTTTTAACATCACGTAGAGTCCGAAGTGAAGAAAAAAATAATTTTCATAAAATAGTGAATAATGTTTTCACAAATATCGATTCAAATGTATGTAGGACAATGTTAAGCTAATACAGTATTTATTACTTTTATACACATTTTAAATGATTTCAAAGAAAGTCTTATGATTGTTTGCATCTTGTATTTTTGATATACGAAATAATTGGCAAGATTGTGAACATTTTCTGGTAACTTTTTTTCCTGTGAAAAGATTTTCACCAAAATTTGAAATTCAAGAATGATTTCTTATGAGTGCTCACAAGATTAAAATCTTTTGATTGTTCATGCAGTTTAAGTATTGTATTTATTTATTAACTTCACTTTTTCTATTTTTATGTGAATTTTTGAATCATTTTAATTGCAAGATTCCTTGAAGTAAGTTCAGTTTTGTTCCAACAAGTAAGTGTAGTTTTTTGTGAAGTTGCTCATGAGCAGGGTTAGGAATTTGAATGTAGTTACACAGTTAGTTCCTTCGATACAAAAAATGTTTATTGAATGTTCTGAATTGAAGTTTTTTAGTGATTTGAAATGTATTTGCTTATCCATATTAATCCATGTTTTTGGATGTTGCGTGTATTATCATATATTTAGGAAAACTCATATATCTGTGTTTTTCAACATTTAATTTACAATGTGTTTCATATCATGTACTATTGAAACTATTCTTGGAAGATTAATGCAATTTAAAGTGATGTAGAAGTAGATTGTCTGTTAACTCTACAAGATTGCAAGGTTCGATATGTTCCCATTACTTTTGCTGATGAGTTTTAGTATATTCAAGGCACCAATTAAAGAGACAAAAGGTATAGTTTCTTATTTGAAAATTTAAAACAGTGCTTGGTAACACACTACTTCATAAATTTCAATGTTTAGAAAAGGATTATGAAACTTACTTTCAGTGAGACAATATTAGCTGGTCTATTTAGTGTAAGAAAAGTTTGACTCTTTTAGCTAATGTTAAAACAATGCTCATAGACCTGTGTATTACGTGTTTAATTTTGGGTTGCCTGGTGTGCTTAAAAAAAAAAAAAAAATTGTGGTCAAGCTGAAGGGGGGGGGTAGGTTGCGGCAGATCAAAAAACGCGCCAAGACATCGGCGGGAAACAGCTTCTCTGAAGTTTGTCGGGGCGACGTACCGGCAAAAGCGCCGGCTAATGGGAAACGGGCGGCCAGAGGGCGTAGCGGCAGCTGAGCAGCGAGGCTACGCGGGTGTCGGGAATAAAGTCAGGCACCGCCACCGGAGCACCAGGCAGTGTGCGAAAAGTCCGGCGAGTCTACGAGAGTCATATTGGGTGGTATGAATAAAAGTAAGCAAGTATTCTTTGCTCCGAGTTTCGGAGATCCTACTCAGTTTCGTATGAATAAAGTGGGTGAGCAATTGCTCAGTCTCTGAGCGTTCTCAACTGGCGAGTAAATGCTCAGAATTGGTATGAATGAAGTTAAGCCTTTACTCTCTAAGAGTGAGCACTTGCTCCAAAATTTCGGAGGGACCTTAATAGCAGACTCAGGTTTGAAAAGTAAGGTTAAATTGGCCGATTTTTTTTACCGAGTGTTGATATGTAGATGCAGTGGACTAAACAAATCAAGATAAGACCAAATTCTCATGATGTAGACTACTAGAATCTTTGCCGATTCGAAAAGGACAATGTATGGTTGGTACGATTTTTATCGGCGTTCGCTTTCAGGCGCCTTTTCATATTGCATATCTTCTATGTTAATTGGCCTTCGCTCTTTTCTACTCTGAATTTTTCGGGGTACTGTTTTTTCAAACTTTGTGATGTTTCATTTCGGCCACAGCGTACCTGTGAAAGCTGTCTCTTTCCAAAAATAATTTTATATTCGCTTAGCATTTCGGCAAAAACTAGCTGGGCCTCTGGCACCTGTTTTTCGTTACTGCTATTCATATTCGAATTTAAAGAACGAGACAACAAAACATTGCTCTTTATTTCGCACAAATGTACGCGCCGCGCGTAACGTATGTAGCCTCTTTGTTGCTCAAAAAACCAATTTTTAAAACTCTTAGCCTGCACTATCACTTGTTCACGATGAGCAAATGCTCGCGAGACATGAGTAAGTTCTTCGGAGACAAACGAAGTTTTATTCGTACGAAATGGAGTTTCTGCTCATTGCCGCGGAGTGGACTCACGTTGCTCCAGAGCAAGTGCTCATTTTTATTCATATGTCCCATTGAAGTTTGCGGATACTGGTTGTAACTTGGCATTGTGTTTGCATATTCTACTGTAATAACTGTCGACTGTGCTAAACATTGTACATCTCCTGGTTTAACGTGATATGTGCATCGTTTTTTGCATATTCTACTGTTTGCAAGAAATCTGCCTGTTTGCTGAATAAAACTTGATGTTGTTACATTGTGGTTTTTCTTGGATACAATTGGCGACTTGAAAAACGTGAA